CCCCTCTCTCCCCCCCTCTCTCTCTCTCACAGACTAACACACAATATATACACACATAAATGCACACACAAACATGCCCATTCACACAATTACGTGCTCGCACGCATACATGCTCAATCATACATACCATTATATATTATGTATACACACCCTCTCTCATACGAGTACATTCTCACGCTCGCAAGCGTATTCTTTTAAATTGTACTCTTTGTTAAGACATTTTATCTCTACAAATTTGATTATTGGAGAGTCCCCATCTTGCAGTCTCTCTCTACGTTTTTATCTATGTATCCGGTTTCGTGTAGACTCACCGTAAACTGCACAAAGTAACGACATTGTGTCCATTATCTAATTACCACTCCCTTTTGCGAAATGCGGACAAAAGAAAGTGATGGGGTGTCTGGGAGTACGGGTCGATGTGGGTGTACAGTGGGTACAAGGATGCCATCAGGTCTCTGTTAAAGTACTCAAAGGTGAAACCTCGATGGGTGATCATGGGGATGGTTCTACTGAGTATTTTTATTTGACACCATTCTGTTGTGACTTTTAGATTTTTGATGAGACGTTCTTAGTTTGATTTGTAGTTGTTATTCTGTAGGCTTAACATTTTGCGTCCAGAAAGACACCGTTTAGATCATTGTATAGATCATGCACGCCGCTCCCACCAAACTTGTTTTTAGTTTTGGCGTGGCAGGAAAGAGGTATTGAAATATCATCCTCTCTTTTCAACTGAACTGACTACTTTTGTAAGTTTGTCGAACCTGTACAACACTAACTTCTCGTAGAATACTTGCCCATAACTTCCGATAGTGACAATTTGTAATAGACAAGTACGCAAAGAACACTACTAACAGAGGATGGATCTGACATGAAAACGTAGACCCAAAGCTACCGGACCCGTAATCGTGAGTAATCGTGAGCGCGCTTTCGGTTGTTAGAACTTCAGTTCAGTCCGATGTTGTGTCCTTAGGGAAGGAACTTTATACGAATTTCCTACTTATTTTTGGCTCGGTTCATTCGGAGGTGTAAGTTAAATTCGGAGGTCCCGCCTCTTAAATAACCTAATGCTCTTGACAGGGATACTTACTTACTAGCCTTCAACTCACACTTTTCCACATCTTCCACATATTTGCATTGAGCCTTCTGACTCGCTGTTGTTCCAACAATTCCACGTACACCTGACCCCCCCCCCCGTCTCCTTTCCAGGAGAACTGCGCAGCGCAGAGGGCGGGGCTTGTCATCAAGTAGCTGTCAAAGTACTCAAGGACGGGGCGTCGCCGGACGCCCATGAAGACTTCGAGAGGGAGGTTGAGATCATGTCAGCCTTTGACCATGACAACATTCTCAAGCTGCTGGGAATTGTGGTGCAAGGTGAGGGATCGTCGTCTGTTGTTGTTGTTGTTGTTGTTGTTTGTTGTTGTTGTTGTTGTTGTTGCTGTTGTTGTTGTTGTTGTTTGTTGTTGTTGTTGTTGTTGTTGTTGTTGTTGTTGTTTGGTTAAATTGTTCGTAAGATTGAACTTTGGTGGACCCAATACCGAACAACGTCAGAACTACTTTTGAGCCTCGCTGTGCAATGTTATACCAACTATTTTGGTCCTGGTCCACTTTTCTTTTCTCTGTTCTCATTTATTATTGTTTGGAATTTACGTGTGTTTTTAAAAATTATTGTTGACAGGCAAGCCCCCCCCTGAACCCCCCAACTCTTGTTATCAGTGGCATTAATAGATGTAAATATGGTGGGTCCACCAAGGTTAATTCGGCCAAATTATTTGATCTTCAACTCATCAATGAGGAGTAGATCACACACTTCGGGGTTGAAACTAACCGGCGACATATCAAGAGTCTTGCACACACGCGAGTACAAACACAGAGAGCATAGCAATAGATATATGAAATGGCATTCTGAAAGAAACCCTCAATTTCTTGGGAAGCATTCAGTGCAAGAAGATGCGATTTTCGGGGAAAATTCGTGTAAAATGCCTTTCCCAAGGACACAATGTCGGGATTGAGGCTCGAACCACGGAACCACCCCTGCAAATCTCACGATTACGAGGCCATAGCCATATATATAT